GCGCTTCGCTCTCTCATGTCGTCTATTATTTGTCTCAAAACAAAGACAAACAACAGATTCTGAGGGAAGAACTCAACGCTTTGGACACAGACTTCACGTATGAAAACCTAAACCAATGCCAGTATTTGAATGCAGTCATCGATGAGACCCTACGACTGGCCCCACCTTTGAGTAGTGTTCAACGGGAATGCATTCAAGACTATCAACTGGGAACTACCGGTACCAAAAAAATTACTATGCTAAATAAATATTTATTATTACATATACAACCTTAACAGGTATAACAATACCGGCGGGAACTAACATAGAGATACAGCCATTTGTCATACATAGAGACCCGGAGTATTTTGTTGACCCTGATGAATTTAAACCCGAAAGATTCATTGACGTAAAGCACCCGCCGTTTGCGTTCGTACCCTTCGGGTGCGGCCCTCGACAGTGCGTTGGTATGAGGTTTGCCTTAAATGAGGTGCGAATGTGTATCGCAAAGATTGTACATAAGTATGAGTTTAGTCTCGCCCCTGGATTTAAGGTATATTTAATTATTGTATTTAAAATAATACTTTATTTATTTATTAATTAACAGTTATTAATAAAAACTTATTATTTTTTTTGTCTCAATTAACAGATTGATTATTTCACGGGTAATATATTTCATTCACCAAAACAAGTTTTAGTTCATATTAAACGTCGATAAAAATATTTAAAATAATTAACATAAGTTTTAAGTTTTAAATGTTAAAGTAAATAAATGTACAATTTTAAAAATTTGTAATTACTGTAGGTATATTAAGCTAATTAACATTTATATTGTTACTCACAAATAAAGTGGATATAAATTATTACTAAAAATAAAATCGGAAAATATGTTAAAAAAATAATTGACCTTTTTGATTTATTAATGTTTGTAAATATGTTTTAATTGTTGCTGTTTAAATGTAAAAATCTAAATACTAAATTGTTTTATTTTTAATTAATGTTTTAAACATAATATGTTTTATATTATAAAATAAGTAATAATTAATATAGCATATGGTTTTATATTTTATTTCTTTTAAAATTAAATGTATATTATCCAGATAAAACATATTGATATAAACTTTAATAAATAATGTCTGCTTTATATTAAATTTATTTTAATTTTCTATTAAGTACTGTATTTATATAATTATCATAATTAAAAGATTAAATCATATAATTGAACAAATAATAAGTAAATAAACTGGTAATATTTGATACTACAAATACTTTTTATTTGTAGTAATCTTTGTAGTTATTTTAATAACTAACTTATTGATAAAATAAAATATTATTCCACTTTAACCCATCTCAAATATTTCAACGAATACATATAAGGACCAAAACTTAAATATAACAACCACTCAAATACTGTCGCTAACACATGGGGTATATATCCCGGATGACTGTATGGCCACATTAACCTACCCCTAGTGTCCACAGCATAATTGGGCCAGTAATAAAGGCAGATAAATGTAAATATAGTTGATGATGATAAATAAATTAATGCCTTGTGATATATACCCTCCTGGTAATGACCGATACTATCATTATTAATTATATATGCAATTTGTGACTGAATATACATATCGGTAATAAACGAGGTAAACACTACTACGGCGGCTATTAAATGAGGAATGATCATGGTGGCCGGGTATATAACTACCATGATCATGCCCATTACCATCATTATACCAGTTGCTAATGAGCACCAATTATATGTAATGAGTGTTGGGTTTGTAACAATAGTGCGGTTAGTTTTATGATAGGCATGTATAGTTTGAGCTCGTTTTAATATTATGGCAGCCGTTATAATGGCATGTAAATAGAGATGTAGGTTAAATAACACCGATTCCGGCCATAATAAGCCCAAATCGCTTATATATGGCAATACTGGGTATACGTGACCGTAGTATATGGCGATCAATAGCCTAATTGTTTTAATGTAGTTAAAAATTAATTTATTTAATTACAATTAATATTGGTCATTTGAATTTATATAATTTTATATTACTTACAAATATATTGGAAATAAATTATTGATCCAAAATAAAAACGGAAAATAGTTTAACACAAACGACATTTTTGATCATGCACAAATTGTTGTAATCAAAATTAAACCTCTCAACAATCTATTTAAAATTAACAAAACAAGTTATTATTTATTAACTTTTAAGGTTTATTCAATATTTGTTGCAACTATTCAATAAGTATTGACAAACATTCACTAAAATGTAAGTAATGATACTTGTTAATAATATAAAGCTATTATTTTTAATGAATAATAGATTAACAAATGTGTTAATGATACAAATTATTTTGAAAGCAGATTTTTTTTACCAGTTATTACTTTCTATTATTACCACGAATAAAATACATGTATGTATGATTTATAATGATAAAGTAAAAAGTGTAAGTATTTTGAAAACACCACTTTTATTAAACATGTTTTGCATTAAATATTTCCTTAGGTTTTTAATACAACCCTTTAATAATAACCAAATCAGATAATTTATTATAATAAACCCTAGAATATATTTACTGTATTTGCATTGAGTAACATTGAAAAAATAGTGTTTAAATATTATTATCATAATTTTGTTATCCATAACAAAATAATTATAAACTATGATTTTAATAAAGATAATAGATTTTATTTAATTAGCAATAGTTAGAGTAAAATTTAGAATTTGTAAAATTGTAATCAAATTTATGGATCAAAATACTTGATTAAAAAGTAACTAAAAAAGTAATTAAGCACAATAATTGTGTATCATTAATTATTAATATTTTTAATCAAAAAAAAATTTTTATTTTAAATTAACACATAAAATGTTTTAAAAATTAATAATTTGTCAAACTTATAAATCATGATAAACTCATGAAATTAAAATACCATTTTACAGACATCATAATCTTCCATGTTAATTAATTTATTATTCCACTTTAACCTTGCTCAAATATCTCAACGAATACATGTATGGGCCTAAACATAGAAACCACAGCCACTCAAATGCTACCGATACAACATGAGGTACATAACCGGATCACTGTAGGGCCACATTTGCCTATAAGGAGTGTTGGCAGCAAAATCCGGGCGATAATAAAAGCAAACTAGTGCCAATGTAAAACACCAGCATGCTGATATTGAAGCCGTGTAAAACATAACCACCTGATAATCACTGATAATCTGGTGGTTAATCATATATGCTATTCGTGACTGAATATACATATCGGCAATAAACGAGGTAAACACTATGACGGCGGTTATTATATGAGGAATTATATTTGTGGCCGGGTATATAACCACCATGCTCATGCCAATTACCATCATTATACCAGTTGCTAACGAGTATAGATTATAATCGGATAACCGCTTGCAAGCATCAATGTCTCTGTTTGTCTTATTGTAACTTTGTATTAATCGAGCTCGTTTTAATATTATGACAGCGGTTATAACGGTGTGCAAATAAAAATGTAGGTTAAATAGCATGCATTCCGGCCATAATATGCCCAAATCGCTTATATATGGAAATACTGGGTGCACGTGACTGTAGTATACGGCAATCAAATACCTAGTTTAAATATAATTTTAACTTTTATTGACTTTAGATACTTTATTTAGAATTAACAATGGTAATTTTAATTTACTGGATTTAATAATACTTACAAATAGACTGGAAAGAAATTATTGATCAAAAATATAATTGGCAAATATTTTAAAATAAAAGACATTTTACATCAAGGCACAACTTTCTTAAATCCTAATTACAATTAATTATGAATTAATTTACAAATAAAATATTATATTATAAGCTAGTACGTGTTTATACTCTGTATTCAGTCACTATATGATCAATATTTGTTAATCACTTTTAAGAATTAAATAATTAATAAAACATGCTTATTGTACCATGCTTTATATTAAAAACATGTTTGTATCAAAAATAAAATGTTTATGGCTTATTACCAAATGTTGCCAAAAAAATTCCATGCTTTAAATGAACGATACCAAAGCCGACAGATTGCTTGTAAATATTTATTTTCTATTTTTAAGTTTTAAAGTAATAAAATATTTTAATGAATACAATCATTTTATTTATAACTCTTTATATTATAACTTAATGACTTATTAATTAACACATCTATTTTTAATTAACAAATAATGCTTTATTTTAATGTTTATTCAAATTATTAAATGAATCAGTGTAATAATAACTTTACAGTTATAAACTGCAACATTGTTAAATATTGTTCAAATATTTTAATGAATACAGATATGGACTGGCAGTCAATATAAACACCCACTCAAGTGCGCTAGATATTACATGGGGTATATAACCCGGATCATTATAACTCCACATAAGTCTAAGATTGCTATCCAGATTAGCATCGGGGTAACACCAAAACGATATGACACCAAACAGCACACACCCAGCCATTGACAGTAACTCAATGTAAACTAAACGGCACAGAAAAAGGGCAATACTGTGCGCACCCATGATATACGCCATACGGCTTTGTAGCCACATATCGGTCACTATTGAGATGAACGTTGTGAACGCGCCAAACATATGATGGTAATAGATTGTCGATGGGTAGGTGGCCATTATGGTCATCCCTATCAGCTCCATATACCCGGTGGCCAATCCCAACCAGTTGTACATTTTGAGAATAATTGTGTTTATTTCATCTAGATTAGTATGGTAAACGTGTACCACATGCCACCTTTTCCAAATGTAAAATATGCCAACTAGGGCGACTACGTATACGTGCATGCTAAATAGTAGAGACTCTGGCCATAAGACACCTAGATCGCTAACGTAGGGCAATACTGGATACACGTGGCCATAATATACGGCAATTGGTAATCTAGATGTTTTAATTATTATTTTTACATTTAATTAATATTAGTGTTAAAAATAATTTTAAAATACATACAAATAAAATGAAAAACAATTATTTAATACAAATAATGTGGGTACATGTTTTATTAAAAGAGACATTTTTAAAAATTACAATTAATTATTACATTTATTGAACTAATTAAATAATAAACTTAACATTTAATTAAAAGTTGTAATTTAAAACATACAAAAAAATGACAAAATAGTGATAACTTATTAAAATTTTTAAATAAAATTTTTCTAAATAATTTAGTTCTAGGTAAAAAACAACAGATAAAATATAACTAACTAACTAACTTGTATGAAAACGAAACATTTACCTGGGTTAATAGTTAACATTTATTTTAAAAAACATTTTAATAAATATAAAATTATAAATAGAATTTACTTTGATTACGGTAAAATCACAATTAACTAGCATCACAATAAATCAAGCTACTTTCTGCTTGCGTAAATATCTAAACGAGTATACATAGGGGCCGATCGACAGGACGAGCACCCATTCAAACACACTCGATATAATATGAGGCACAAACCCGGGCTCATCCGACTTCCACCTCAACCGCAATGAATTATCATAAAAAGCATTCGGCGAGTAATATATTGACACCAATGCAAACCCAATGCAACTAACAAATGACACGAGTGCCGTATAGCACATATACTCTTGGTATTTACCCACCACCGGGTGGTCCATCATATACGCCACACGGCTTTG